TGATGTAGATATGTGGGGGCATGTTAGAACGAGCCGTTTTAGGTGGGTGTGGCTGACTCTTAACTTTTATAAAGAATATCTCTTTGGATTTGAGACTTTAGTCTTCTTTAGTCTCTTTATGCACCAAGAGCTTGTAACACTCCAAAGAGAAAGGAAAAATTGAAATCGCTTCATATGACCGCTTTAAAGGAAAATCCTAATATTCTAAATCCTAAATCCATGATAAGGAAGGAGAGGCTCGGATCTAAAAATAATAATAATAATAATAATAATAATAATAATAGGTCAACATCTGGCATAGCTAAGGCAAATCCACCCATGTCAAAAACTCCCATCTTGATTATTTCATTTGGGTAGAAGCTTCATGGTGATTTTTGGATGGGCAAATCGTATGAGCATGTGTTATTTTGTATTGGTATATTAGCCAGTTACCAGATTAGTGCTATATGAGCAAGATGTGTTATCATTTTAGATATAAGCATATATGAATTCCATCTGGATGCCTGCAGATGTTACAAAAAGAACAAGACTGTAATTACTGTATGAATTCTCTACAGAATTCTGATTTCTGCTCTCCAATTAAGGCATTTCTTATTAGATAGACAGATAGATAGATAGATAGATAGACAGACAGACAGACATATAAGACAGACAGACAGACAGACAGACAGACAGACAGAGTTCTCTCTGCCAATGGTTTCAAAGCATGAGAATTCAGCTCAGTATCTTCTTACGATGCTTGTAATTACTCTCTTCTGGATAGAGATCTCTGCTGCTTTTCCTTTTAAATCTCCCTTTCTTCCAGCTTAAGTGTCAATGTCCCAAGAGCCTCCTATCACCAATGGATTTACCCTGGCTTTAACTTCCCTCCTTCTTTCCAATTCCTTCTTCAGTTCTTGATATTTCTCAAGCATCCCAGTTTTCCTTCTAGCTACCATAGTTTCAGACTGCCACATCAACCACCATTTCTGTGTCTGTTCTACCAAATATATTATGTGTCAGATCTGGTAGTTGTACTGCACCTCTTGATTATTTGCTGCTATACATTTATATTTTACATTTCAACTTGGTCAACACCAGTACAGTTGTCAGTATGTGCATTATTTATGATGCTCAAATTGTGTGCATATTCTTTATGTGGCTGGAGCTCCACAGACAAAAAACAAGAAAAGACAATAAGTGACTGAAAGCTTGGAAGTTTTTTCACAACAACACATACGGTTGCAATATTGTTAAAGTTGAGGGTGGCTCACATACCTGTGCACACCTCTTCATAGGTGGGGTTTGGGGTGTAACCGCCAGAGTAGCCCACTTGAGTGGAATAGACCCCATTTTGCCTCCAGAACTTCCTCTCCACTCCCCAGAAACAGCCCATACCTGTGTTAAAAAGAGATAATAAATATTATTTACTGTATATAGAGCCATAGACCATAACTATAATTGAGACCAAAAAACATCATATTTCTAGTATTGGCAGAAATTACAAAGATGAGATGTTCTGAGAACATTTACAGTACATGCACACATTTGATGGAAATAAGTGTGTACTTTGAATGCAAAGTGCACATACATTTCATGCATTGCATGGAAAATCAAACCCATGACTTTGGAGTAGCTAGCACTATGCTCTACTGTTAAACACAAAAACAGCAATTTATTAAATTGCTGTTAATCAGTAACTGGATAAGATGTCTCCTTTGGGATACATTAAAATAAAAGCAATTTTCTGCCACTATTTACTTATCCACATATCTTTCTGTATATATGCTGTTTTGTTGTTGTTGTTGTTGTTTTCCAAGAATTGTTTTGCGGTTTTTGTCATAGCACAGTAGTTCAGTGTGACCATGGAGCTTTCAAGCTCAAAAAGGACAAAAGGAACACAGAAGTGGTCCACATGACTTCCCGTTCCTCAAAAAAAAAAAAGCTATTGTATTGCTTTAGAAGCCTTGGAATTTAGTGCATGAGTCATAGTTTAGGCAGTTTAGGCTGCTTTTTGTTATTTTTTATGCTTTGGAGCTTCACAAAAAATAGAAACATTCTAAACATGGAAAAAATAACAGGCAAATAATAACATCATACAGGATTGAAATGGCATGAGGGTGACTAAATAATGACAGAATTTTTATTTTGGAGTGAACTATTCTCTTACAATTACAGTCTCTAAGATTCTGCAGTGTACATTACCATGTAAAAGTATGGATTAGTAAGATGATTTATTTTTAAATTAATTATTACATTTAACGCATCAAGGATGCAGTTAATTTAAACACCAAATCAGCATATTAGAATGTTTTCTGAAGGATCATGTGACACTGAAGACTGGAGTAATGGCTGCTGAAAATTCGGCTTTGCATCACAGAAATAAATTACATTTTATAACATTAAAATAGAAAACATATATTAAATTATAATAATATTTCACAATATTACTGTTTTTACTGTATTTCTGATCAAATAAATGCAGCCTTGGTGAGCATAAGAGAAAGCATTAAAAATCTTGCCAGCCCCAAACTTTTGAATGCTAGTGTTTAAATGTTTATCTGACTTTTCCTCACAGAATTCTCTTTGCTGTGTGTTTTTGTGAGTTCTGCTGGGACCGAGTATCCTCTAGCACCTTCCCACTGGTGTTAAATCAACCCCTAAAATTCAAAGCTCCGTATTTTAGCTATGAATTTACAGTCCCATAAAACGAAAGACTTCACCATCACGCATTTACTCAAGGCCAATAAAAACATATCAACCACTATAAAACTAACACCCGCTGTAAGCATTTATTACCAAATAATACTTTCCCCTCTATAACAGTAAAAATAAATTAGAGGGTAACTAGTATATCGTTATCTACCACAACGTCCCATGGGTGAAAAGTAATTCAATTGTTTAAAAAAAAAACACGTACACGACTGTCGGCTTGACCAGATTTTTCTGATTTACAAGCTGCTGTGGAAAAGTGAGCATAAGGCGCATGATGGAGAATCTAGAATCTGGAGCTCAATTACGGCGGACCATTGGGACGCCCGAATGCCAAGACTATAAGATGACGCTTTCTCAGGGGGGACGTCAATGTTTAGTAAATGAGGGTGAGCGCTGTGCGTACTGTCTAGAGGGAAGAAAAGGAACATTTTCATGGAATCAAAGGTAAGAGTTACCTTTCATCGCTCTCAGCGGGGGGGCTGTGATTTGCAAAGCCGCATACATACGTTGAATATTATTTTATTTGTATACAAGGCTCTGTGATAAAACAGCCATTTAATTCCTGTCTGCCATGATGAATTACACAGTTTGAGGCCTAAATAAGGAAAAAAAGGAAGCTGAACAAATGCATTTATTAAACAGATCCTAATCGGCAGTCTGCAATTAATTGCATACCCCTCCCCCTTTATTTTCCTCGTCCTTTTGCAGCTTTGGTTTTGCACTTCTTCGAGGGGATGAAGGGGTGCATGAGGGGGGACTAATTACCTTCCACTGCCAGTCGTCTTAGCTGGATCTACCCCCACGCCGATGACACACACACGCATCTCTCTGCTCGGATCACTTACCGAATAAGACCATCTGCAGTCCCTCTGGGAACGGTGGCACTGTCCTGTTACCATTCACGTCGTGCTTAGCTGCAGGACACGGGGGAAACAATGGAGAGAATGCCCTTATAAATCAACACAATGTCAACAGGATTTCATAATGCGCTCTTCTCAACACAACTCACTGTAGGGAAGAAACTCCCAGGAGGACAGTGGCTCTATTCCTACGCAGCTCATTAAGTTCAACCCTTAAGTTTTGGGTTGATTCCTTTATCTTTCACTTTAAGAGCACCAGGAAGACAGGAAAAGGACATAGGGAAGGTCAAACAAGTCATTTGATCAAGGAAGGTCGAATGATGGTCTTTTATTCCAGCGCGTTGTGGATTTTTCAAAGGGGAGGAGAACAACACCTGGTCGGATTAACGTATGTCAATGCGATGTTTTAACATGTGACAGGGATACAGATGGGCTGAGGCATGGAAAACCGTTGCGTGAATTAGAATAAGTGGAGGTCACCGAGTTCAACATCTGGGCGCAGCCATGCCGGAGCTTCGACATGCATGTACTGTATGAGTATGTTGCCATGGCAGCAGGGCATGCCAATACAGCCAGATGGATGGCAGACCTACATGCCATGCTGCAGTTCACTGCATCACTCATGGTCACACTCTCTTTGCAAATGGGTGGTTAAACCACTTTGAGTTTGAATTATGGGAAAAGCTTCAAATGCTAAGTTAATTATGCTCCATAAAATTTTGCATTCTCAAAATAAATGTTAAATAAATATTTAACCAATTATTAAATATTTTCCTGTTAAATAAATAAATAAATACTCAGCATTAAATAAAACATTATTGGCCCTTTTTTCCTGTTAAATAATATTTAGTCCATAACTGACTTTTTTTTCTGTGAATTAAAAAAAAAACCAGTTCAGCCCATTATTGACTACTTTTTCTGTTAATTAAATAAATAAATACATACATGCATACATACATTTCTTAAAATGAATAAACAAAAAGGAAAATAAATGTTCCATCCATTGACCTTTTTTTGTTAAATGAATACATAAATAAATAAAAAGAATGAATGAATGAATGAATGAGTCAATGAATGTTCAGTCCAATGCTGACTCTATCTTCTTTCGTTTCATAGTCATATCCTCCTTTTAGTGTAATATATCTATAAAATGTGTTTGCATCCAAAGTCAGTGGTGTTTCACAAGAGGCTTCCTGAAACGTGGCTGTGATGAATAATAATTAAAATAAAAATCCTAGGTGAAACAGAATGAAAATCTTCTTTTGGCACAGTAAACCTTTCCATTTTAGAATTAAAATGAATGAATGTTCAGTCCAATGCTGACTCTATCTTCTTTCGTTTCATAGTCATATCCTCCTTTTAGTGTAATATATCTATAAAATCTGTTTGCATCCAAAGTCAGTGGTGTTTCACAAGAGGCTTCCTGAAACGTGGCTGTGATGAATAATAATTAAAATAAAAATCCTAGGTGAAACAGAATGAAAATCTTCTTTTGGCACAGTAAACCTTTCCATTTTAGAATTAAAATGGCACTTGAACAATGCAGTGAAAGAGAGGCTTTCTGTGGAGGCCACAGCTCTAATCTAATCTGTGTAAGTGGACTGAAGAGAAGCATTAGAACAGACTTCATTAAATCACTTTAACATTCAGACTGTCGGTGCTGATCTGTTTCAACCGCTCAACACTCTCTTACACCGTTCAGTACACTGAGCAAAAATTCCATGTAGTGTCTTAATTCAACATCAATCAACATAAAAAAAAACAAAATACTGTGTGTGTGATAATTCTAAAAGAATTAGAATGTTTTTAAAGGGATATTTTGCCCAAAGTCTGTTTCAACCGCTCAACACTCTCTTACACCGTTCAGTACACTGAGCAAAAATTCCATGTAGTCTCTTAATTCAACATCAATCAACATAAAAAAACAAAATACTGTGTGTGTGATAATTCTAAAAGAATTAGAATGTTTTTAAAGGGATATTTTGCCCAAACAAAAAGTCTATCATCATTTTCTCACCCAATTTGTGCAACAGAAAAGGTTTTTTTCTTTTCAATACAATGACAGTGAGTGAGGACATTGAAACTGTGACCATAAAAGAATCATAAAAGTGGTCCTACGCAGATCTATAATATACTGTATATCAGTCAATATTATACTATAGATCAGTGGGTCCATATGATTCATACACTATATGCATCAACTAACAAACTCGAGAACCGAATCAGTCCAATTCATAAACAAATCATATAAACCGGTGTTGTGAACCGGGTCAACTAATTAATTGAAAATTAGTATGATTTGTTTTTAGATTAAAGTTAGTATATGTACGTTTTTACCTGTATACTGACTTCTAATAAGGCGAATGGTTTCTGTTTCGGGTTTGGTTTCTTTCTCAGGCTTTCCTCAAAACGTCTGTTGTTGTTGTAAGTTTGGTAAGCAGGTAGGAAATTCCATGAAAAGGGCAGATTGCTTTACAGCAGCAACAAATGCAGGTGTACAGCTATCCACTGTAATTACAACAGTGATTTCACTCATCTGTAGGCGGCTCCAAAATTGCAAAAATACACAAAGCTACATACAGCTGCTTTATTGTACATTTTTCTTATCCAGCCAAATAATGTGTGTGAAAAGGCAATGAAATGAGAACCAGTTTATTTGTCACACTTGAAATGGACAAGTCGCACAAACTGCATAATGGGATACCGTATTCCAGTACAGTACAGTATGTTTGCAAACTGCACATTGTAGTGAGGTGCATATACAAAATCTGTAAACTATGCACAGTATACACACTACAGTCTTTTAAAAGCAAGCCATTCAGATCAGCCACCATATGTTTCTCAAGCCCAGTCTGCAGTGCGTACGCATAGAGTGGAATAGTGATATTGATCTGCAGTGCGTCATTCTGGAAAAAAAGTAGCTTCCTTTACAGTAAGGACTGGCAATAAGGAGTTGAGTGTTGGGTCGGTGGCTGCACTTTTGCCTTTCAGTGTGAGAGGAGTGACCAGACCACTGCCCACGCTGAGCTACAGAGCTTTCTATTACCCTCTCACCACGCTCCTGCTCTCTAATGGCCAGCACTCACCTTAGCTGTATTTCAATGCTATAGTGTATGGTTACACCTCAGTTCATTCCATCATGCTGAATCCAAAGCACTCAGCTCTCTCTGTGTGACCTCAGAACACAGACCCTGAGATTGACAGGCGCTTGGAGGCAGATAAATCATGAATATGAACTTACATGACCTTTGCAATTACTCAATAATATATTTTTTTTTAATTCAAAATGAGAATGATTCACTAATGAATCATTCAGACCTATATGGTTCAAATGATTCACTGCAAAGAATGAAAACTAAAAAAAAAAATAAAAAAATTAATGTATACTTCAGGATTCATCTGAACAATAACTTTTTTGTTTTTTAATTTTTACTGTACACAAGAACATATCTATCTATCTATCTATCTATCTATCTATCTATCTATCTGTCTGTCTGTCTGTCTGTCTATAAAAGAGAAGAATTATATATTATATAATTATGTACTACATACCGTACTATACTATATATACTACATACTGTAATAATAAGAATTGATTAAGAATCTAATCTAGAATAAAAAAATTAATAATACAAAAATTAAGAATGTATTATTTTTTAAAGGGGTCATATTATGCGATTTCAATTTTTTTCTTTCTCTTTGGAGTGTTACAAGCTCTTGGCGCATAAAGAAGATTTGTAAAGTTGCAAAGACTAAAGTCTCAAATCCAAAGAGATATTCTTTATAAAAGTTTATATATATATATATATATATATTTATATACACTCATATGTATATACATTCAATTATATACAAATTAACAAACAAAAATTCTAATATAAAGAAATTGATTAAATAACAAAAGAAAATCTATATTATTGAATTATTTTTCCAGTGAGAGTTTTTGTTCCCTAATGCTGACAGAAAAGTGTTGACTGTAAGGCCTTAAACCTGCATTATAGAGAAGCGCAGCCGAGGAAAGCGGCAAGCTGGCAAGCGTGTTTATGCCCGAACCCCTCATTATATCTAACCAAGAGACCGGGAGAGATCTGCCTGCAGAATGACAGGAAAACTGGCACAGAGTCCTCCGTGTTCCTCCAGTTCATCCCTCACTGCAGTGTGTAAAAAAGCACAACCGCACCAAGGCCTTTTCTCCGCCGTGGCTTCATTATCTTAACGCAGAGCCGGTAATTGCCGCCTTTCTGGAACAACAGAAGCATATTCATTAATGGTCGGACACCCCCCACAGTCAGATAAACAATCTAAATGTAAATGTCAGCAGGCAAAGACAATGAGTCGAGACAGAATATTAATGGCTCAAATCTAAGCGTGGCACGCTTTCCTCTCAGCTGAAGAGGTTGGGGGGAGAAAGACACAACAGAGGGGGAGGGGAGGGGGGTATTATGAAGCATTCTCTCCATCCCTCCCTCTCTGCAGCTTCCCTTAAACCCCCCTTGTTAATCCAGTGCCATGTGCCAAAGTATTCCCTGCCACCCTGGTCCTTTGATTTGCCTCTCCCACAACATCATTGAAATTCATATATGTATAGTGCTTTACATTTTATTAATCATTACTGATCATAAGCTCTTTTGGCTTTCCTGAAAAAAGGCAGGCCTTCATTAATGCATCAAGAAAGAAAAATAACATCTATTGGCTCTCAAAATTTATTTTTCAAGTTCAAGTATGAATACAGAACCGTGCTTAGATAATTTATTCATCAAAACCAAGAAAATGATTAGCACAAAAACATCTTTTTGGTGCTGCCTAATTATCTTGTTCTTGACAAACAGAGAAAATAAATTATTCTCACTCAAGCGTTTGGTGAGGCGGATTTTATCTAATAATTAACACCTGCAGAAGAAACAGAAGCATGAATTTGTAAATTACATTTTCTTTCCGTATGCACACCTCAAGCGTTCTACTGGACGAAAGTTTACGCAGAGACAAGTATGGCTCGTTTCTGCTCAGTAGGTTTTTTTGACAATCATTTCTGAAAGGTTTTCCACAAAAAGAGA